ATATGTCTAATCAAAGCTACTGTTGAACCTCTCATTTTTTGTCTTTAATTCGCTCTGGTTTCATTACCATCGAGCACTCTGCTGATAATATTTGCAACACGTTCAACCGTTTTTATATATATATATATATATATGTATATATATATATATATATGATGTCATAGTCCATCAACGTACCTCAGAGCTGAATAAGCTTCAATTTCGTCTATCCTTACTGATTAATAGTGTCGTCAACAACCTTTCGAATCTATTCCGATACTCGACCGCCCGTAGTCCTGAACTTTACTTTTTTTTGTTGTAAACAAAATTATTAATTGGAGAATAATACAATATTTGATATCCTATCCTTCCATTATCGTAAAACATGTACCGTCCGCATGCTGTTCGTAGTTTCATGGCCTGTGTTTCCAGAAGACGTTAACAACGCAGTGTGGATTCTTATGGCTACGTCACTTATTATAATCAATGCGTTATCTCAAAACTGCTGATTCGTATATCCGTTGCTTTTCACTGTGTGTTAAATTTGTTTTAGTCAGGTCATTGTGAAAAAATAATATCGACTCTTCTCAATAAAAAAAAGGGTAGAAAAACAATGTTTACTGTACACCATTTTAAGCTTGTTATGAAGACCATGCATCCGTATCGACATTATTGGTCTTATGGAAAATGCTCTATGGCTAAAATATCGGCCTATTTCCCAGAAAAACCAACGAAAAACAGACCTAAACAATTCATTATTTGCTTATTCTTAGACATTTAATTTAGAAAATAATTAAATTGACTATACCAGTTATTTTTTAAGTGTAAACATTTACGTTAGCTCCACGCAGGCCTACTAGCATCATTAAATTAATTTAGCTGGTAATTTGATCAATGCTTTCAATTGTTTAAAGCACATGACCACACTTTGCTGAAAATAGCAATATGTGGTTTTGATTGTACTACGTCATGCATGCCACCTATATGTTAGATGTGAACAAACTAGATCATTGCAAAAAAATAATGCGAATTGGAAGTGCGTTTTGTTTGCAGTCGTCGATGTTCGGCTACTGCTCCTCATTCATTGTTTATCCTGTGTTTTAACTCTTTCAGTCTAATGTACACATTATTATTTAAATTCCATGCGCAGGGGTACTTAAAAACATTTGATATTTTTTTATGATTGCTGCACATAAATATGTAAATAGATTAGGTCACTTGGCATGCTAGTACTCGCGAGACTAATTGATCTATAATAAATGGTAAGTCAATGTATACAGCCTAGCTGAAAGGGTCACATTATACTAAAGGCTGCTAAAATAAATAAAATAAAACAAAACATTATACGAAGAGTTGGCAGGATAGTGAGGAGAGTGTGATTCAAAACATTATACGAAGAGTTGGCAGGATAGTGAGGAGAGTGTGATTCCATCAATCAAAAAAAAAGAATCAATCAATCAATCAACCAAACGAAGAGTTGGCAGGATAGTGAGGAGAGTGTGATTTCATCAGTGCATCTGCAGCTGATTTATGTTAACATTTGTTGATTTAGGCCTATATTCCATTTAATTCATTGTTCAGTTTTTGTATAAGCATCTAGCATACTAATTAAATATTGAAAGCAAACATAGCAAATTCAATTTCCTGAAACCAGCTTGTCAAACGAACATAATTAATACCCTGACGTCCAAATCGAAAATCGCTCCTTCACTGAGTAGTTATTATGCTTATTTTTAGTATATATTTATTATTTTATAATATTCAGTATAAAATTCACAACTTCGATCGCCTATTTCTTTCACCCATTTCAACACCTAATCTGCCGGAGTTATGGGGTAAATTAACATTTACCAATAACTGGTTATTATCTTGTCTAATTAATTATTATTTTTAAAGTTATAACTTAAGTATAAATCTACAAATGTGTGCGTTCTACAGACTTGTTTGTCCTGTTGACTATAACTTCAGACTGTTCAGACGTTTCAAGTTTTCAAAAAGGAACCTTATTAAAATAAATGATGCTTACTGTGTGTAAACACCACCCTCTGATGTGATTATTATTCTATACCAAAACTAAACAAACAAAACAAGTTAGGCTTTTTAATGATAATAATAATATAGTGTATGGACTTTTTAATATGGTTACATGCCTTCCAATCTCAGGATTCTGGGTTCAATTCCTGGGAGTGTTGCAAGATTGTTTTCTCAACATATTGAGATTTACTTTGTGTAAAACATTGTGTGTTAACGTTTGCCTTGTGAAAGAGATTGTAAACTACTACAAGTAGGACAGTGAAATATTCTCTATTGACAATCCTTGGTGCATGTGATATATGCCTTGATAAATAAATAATAAATACCAGTAAATAAATAAATAATAGGTTGAGAGTAGCAATCATTTGGACTAAAACTCAAGATGAACCTGTTCGAAGGCGAAAACATTGTCACCAATGGTCAGCTGAAAAAGACGAAGACTATACTGAATATTATAGAACTGAACATAAAAATGCAGTAATGTCAACATGTATCTTGGCGAGTTATGGAACATCTATAATGGCATAATGCACTGTACTGTACGTAAGTAAACAGGCATTAATAATCGAATAAGTACAGCAAAAGAAGCCTTTTGCTGAAAATAAATCACTGTAACATCGACTTGGTTACTCGTGTGCAGTTGATGAATGGCTTTTTGAGAAGTTGAATTCTAAGTTCTACATGCAAGACAGGATAAATGAATGGGATTTTTTATATATATATATATATAAATCATGATACATGCAAAAACAAAATAAAATAACCTCCTCAAAACTTGTCTTGTGTTGATTATTTACAATCAATTATAAACATTAAAGAAGAAAAAATTGAGAGCAAAAATGAAAATGGACTAAACTAGGACTTGAGCACGGGCCTTCTGCTGTGTGTACATTTTCTAATGGGGTTTCGTATATAATTCAAACCCATCAATTTCTTTGAACTATAATATTAAAATATAAAAAATATATATAAATATTTTAAAATATAAGTAAAATAATAATTTACTATCACTCCACATTGGATATGTAGTTCAATCCTCCTTGGGACATTAGCAGTTGTTGCGCTAGCGGGGGTCAGGGAGGGCAATTCCCTTCCCCACCACTCCGGCGGACAGGCCACGACGACGTCTTTACACCAAATATATTAATTTACCTATTCAAATAACGTTATTTTGATTGCCAATAATATTGTAATATATATAAGCACAATTTTGGCCCATCTATCTAAGCCATACAAAAACTTTCCCCATGAAACCTACAAGACATTTTTATCACTAAGGCTCTATCGGCCCCTTACTTTTAACCCACTTTTAACCCATTTCGGACCCCTGTCGTCAAATTTTGGAGCCACTGGATATGAGAGGCTAGATACCATTCATATTATAATAAACGTCCCATGTTTATAGCTGTTAAGTTGTACAGATTTTCATGAATAATTCTAATTCCTATTACCCCTTGGGGAAAGCTCTATTATGTATAATTCTGACGTGTATTGACTGTGTAATTATGTGACATCTCATTCTGTCATTCATTTGATGGCGCAAAATAATTATTTCCGCTTTCGACTAGTAAGAAAAACAAGAAACGTATTGAAAAGAAAAAGAAGACATAATTAAAAGAAAAAGAGAATCCACGCTTCCGTTTGAAAGAGAAAATAGAAAACTGTACGCTTTGTTGTTAAGATTCCCTGTTGTGAACAAACGAGAGTACCGGTTCACCTGGGAGCTCAGATACGAAGTGCCCCTTAGAAGGAGAAAAAACTTACTGCACGAGCTTGTCCACGCCTCTACTCTTTGGGACTCTCTTTTATACTGTATAAATCTAACTACACTGCATTGCGTATAATTCTGAATGTTCCTTTATTCAATGAAGCCTTTTAGTGTCAAAACTAGGTTGACAATATTTCCTAATCATATTGCATATCGTGCAAATAATATTATTTTTTCGCAACTTCTACAACAAATCCCTTATTATTATGAGGAAAATTTTACATCAAACATTGGTGGCGCCAGTCACACAATAGCTAATCAAGGAATGGGTATGATACAGAACGCATACACTTACATTACTTTTTTACATTTTGGATTGTCTGTATAGCGCAATTATCATTAGTTTTCTTTAAGCATCACGATCAGTAACTTTCTACCAATTACTGACATTTTTTTACTCTGACCTTCATTTTGTATTATCAATTCTGAGGCTTTACCTCCCTTTAGTCGACATTCTAACTTAAACGGTCAAAGATGCATTATGAATAACTACTAAATATCAATGGATTGATTGATCAATAATCTATCGACTGATCGATTTATTGGTTGGTTGTTTTGGGCAATTATTAGATGTATCGAATAATACAATGATCGATTGATTGGATGGTTGATCGATTATTATATGTATCGATTTTGTCGATTGACCGACGGATTGGTTAATCGTTTTGTCGATTGGTCGATTTTTACCGGCGAGTGATCGATTGTTCAACTGATTGATTGATTGATTGATTGATTGATTGATTTACTCACTCACTCACTCACTCATTCATTCATTCATTCATTCATTTATTCATTCATTCATTCATTCATTCATTGACTAATTGACTGACCGATTAGTCTATTAATTGGTTGGTCAATTGATTAATTGATTGATAAATCGAATGATTAATCGACTGATCGTTTCATTGATTGATTATTTCGTTGATTGATTGATTGGTTGGTTGATTGCGTAAGAGAGAGATTGATTGATTGATTGACTAGATGACAAATTGATTGATTGATTCATTCATTCATTTATTCATTCATTCATTGGTTGATTGAATAAATGGATTGATTGATTGATTGATTGATTGATTGAATATATTGATTCATTCATTCATTTAATTATTGATTGAAATGTACGAACGTAAAACACTTGGAATGCTTTCCATTTTACCACAAAAATCCAACATTTCAAAATGCATTTGCAAACAACATACAGTGTACTAGCGTACACACATAAATACATACATTCACGCGAACAGGTTCGTTGACTAGCTAGTTATCAACATAATATCCCAGGTCGTTAAGACCAATGACATTATCCCAACTGATCGATCTGCCGCTTTAGTATCGCGATTCAGTCTTAGATGTTTTTTTTTTTATATTTTGTTTTGTAGAGATAGGCTATGTACATTGATAAATACATTAGAATTCACATCGTTTCGTCATCTCATACAGAGGTACAACATGACTTTTTTTTTTTTTGGAAAATCTTACGTACATAATATATACAAAACATGACTATCATGATAAACCTAGACAAAATCTCAAAATTCAAAATAAACTCTGAATGTAAATAGACCTATCATGCGCACTTCGTTCCTAGTCTAATAGTACAAGGTAAGAACGAGTATTATACCGTAAATGTTCCCATTAACGCTTATAACTTTGTTTTTTTAAAGGGGTTTTGTGTGGGGTGGGGGCCTTCAGTGCGGTAACTATCCAGATTATTACATTATTATTACAAATTATTGTATTGCTAAAATGTATTGCTTATAAACCTATTTGATGTGTTGCAATGTAAGTATAATTTAATCCATAAGAATTCGGTTATTCAGTATGCCTAGTAGCCCCATGATACGAAACATCAAAGCAAGTTTAGTAAGTTGTGTAAATCTAAATAGAGTATATATTATATATATATATATATATACAGTATATACACAGTATATATATATGTATATATATAATATATATGTATATATATATATATTATATATATATATTATATATATGTATATTTTACTGGGCGTAAAACCCCCAGTAAAGTCATTTCGTCATTAGTAGTATCGTACCTTACCTCTACAAAACAGCCGGGGGCAAGTAGCGCGAGGAAGAGTTTCCGAGATTTATATCTCTTACCTAAGTGATTTCACATTTATGCGGCCGCTGCAGAACCTCCTCCCCCAAGGTGGATCCGCCACTCTAGGTTAAATTTATTTATCTAATAGCGAATGTCGTATAACAATACAAATCTGTATTTACAAAATAGCCAACTGCACCACATTCGCCCTAGTACTCTTTGTGCGTTGATATTTACTAAAAGTCTAGGCCCACATTGATTTAGAATGACAATACGCGGCTGGTTTAAAGAATACAAGGCTTAAGAATAAATAAATTGTCATTGCCATGAAATCATTGATAATCAACAAAACAAGTGTTTACATATCAACAGATACTTCAATTATAAATTAAATAAAAGAGAGCCTAGCGTAGCAGAAGCAATTCATTCATTATTGGAATGATAGCCTTTAGGTATCAGACTCTGATCTTTTGTATGCAGCGCCACCTGGGTCATTTTTAAAATCTGTGTAACAATGCTACATATCGCTATTTTAGTTACTTTGTCTTATAGAGAAAGCATAATTACATTTTGTTTTAAGTTAAAGGTATTACACTAATACCTGAACCTTGGAAACCTCCTCCGCTATGAATATTAACATAGCTGTTGCAGTAATGGTGAAAAGTGTACTGAACAAATTAGAAGCAGTCTGTCGACCCAGTAACACCATGCAAAACATCAAATAAAGTTCAGCATGAGCGTTTTATATATATATATATATATATATATATATATATATATATAGAGGAAGGACTAGTATGCCTATAGACAGACTCTTGTTGACTTTTATCCGGACCGCACCCTTCGCTTGTTAGTAAAGCCTCATTCGGGCCGTTTGTTTCGTCTTTTAGTTTCAACTCGACGGTGGCGATTTCGCACTTACTGTCAATTTCTGTCTCAGCTATAGAATGTTTTCCGTTTTCCTGTAAGTAGTAATCTGTGTTGGTGCTGAGTTGCTGTGTTACAACATTTTGGTAACTTTCTTTATCCTGACGATATCTGCCAATGTAGTGGCCGAGTTTTATTAAAAAGAATGATTCTACCCAGCGGGGTGGAGGGTTGACGTTTTTGCTACAGAAAATGTTGAGGACAATCGATGTGACCAACATGGCTACACATCCCATTGTTATTACGAATGTGAAATAATAACCTGTGAAATAAACAAAAATCATTTCAACAACCCATTATTATTATTATTATTCATAATACTAATGATGACGGTGATGATAAGGATGAACATCATGATGCTGATGAAGATGATGCTGTTGATGATGATAATGTTAATAGAGCACCGCAGTCGTGTCGTCACAACACCAGGTGGAGCCCTCTTGACGTTGGTTGCGTTCATTTACGCTTGAATGACTACATAATCTTAATGGTGGTTTAGAATGGTTTCTTGAATAGGCATTTTGAAACCTAATAATTTACCATCAAAATTTAATAAAAACACAAAAAGCTCGCATTATATTAGTTATCGAACACACAATTAATCATCAAATAATATTTACAAAGAAAAATTAAGGTACAACTTAATAATTACGTTAGAAATTGGGATCAATGGTTTGTCAGTGAAGAAAATGGTCGATAGCAACGGAGTAGTATCACGTGGTATCATGACGTAACACTGTAGTACTGTATAGTAGTGTTGATGTCAATATAAATGCACAAAAGATATATTAATAATATTAAAAATAGTAATAGCAAATATATCTCATTAGTATTCGTAGTAGCAGCAGCAGCGACAGCAGCGGCAGCAGCAGCAGCAGCAGTCTGTAGTAGTAATAGGGCCTAGTAGTAGTAGTAGTAGTAATAGTAGTTTTAATTTAAAAGTTACCAAACTACCTATAAAAACAGAATGGAACGGTAACCATTGAAATAGGAATTAAAGTATAATTCCTTTCTCCCTGTGGTTAATAACAATTATGATTGAAAATTAAAGGCTCTAGAGAGGAAAAAATGTTTGATAAATTGTACAACTGATTTAAGATCCACTAACCCAAAATTGGACTTCCTTCAGCAACTGGTGGAAGACTTTCCGAGATAAGTTGTTGAAGTACCAAAAGGCTTAGTACAATTGTCATACCATATGAAATCTTTTCACCGCAATCAGGAGGCATCAGGTACACCAACGTCGACATGAAGGATAAAAGTACACATGGCAATATGATATTCGACACGTAGAACTCGTATCGTCTCTTTAAAATGAGGTACATCTTTATCGTGGCGTAGTCGTAGGTGGCGCTTGTCGTCCGCAAAACTGCGTCTGCGGTAACCTCTTTTAATTCCCATATGCCGTTTTCGGTAAAATCCGTCAATGAACTTTCGCTTCCCTGCATTAGATCCAGCTGAACTTCATGTCCTTCGTAGGCCCATGATCCGAATTCGAGAAGACATGATTGAGTATCAAATGGGAAATATTGAACATCCATTTTACACGAGCTGATGAAAATTGCTGGAGACGACCACTCGACTACTCCATCTGGATACACGGTTGCAAATAGGTCGGTCTTCTTGTTCTTTAACTTACCATCCACACTATAGAAAAGTACATGGTTATATACATTGTCGCACGAAATACTGATAATAGGTTTACTGTGTGACTAAAGGAAATATTTTAAAACTGTCCTTACTCGTTGTAGAGAATAATATCCGGGCGCCATATTCGATTGACGTCTACTCGTATCTGGTATACGTTAGTTTCCGACGAATTCCACTGCAGATATTCGTCGACCCATTTCTAAAAAAATAGGCAGCAAGATAATAATTATACAGCGCCCCCAAACAGTCGTGAATGGCCTATACTTTCTATTCTAATGATGTTTCCATGACAATAACCTATACTTACGTACTTCAGCCAACCACTGACCGTCATTTGTTGATCCCGCTCATCCTATTTGTTTATAAAGAAATTGTTATTAGCGTAATTTACTCATAACACAAAGGTGAATAAAGAAAGTCATAATTGCGGGAAACTAGAGAATAATAATTTAACAAAAGTAGATTGTACTTGTTTGTATTACCTAATAAAGCTAATAGCATACTTAAGTATAAAAAGTAATCAATTTTAATATTGAATTGTTCAATTTTATTAGCTCATGATAATTATAGAAAACAGATTAAGATCAGTTTAAAAGATTAAAATGTGTCTAGAAACAGAAACAACATTTGTTTAATCATACAATTACAGACAGCAATAAATTGTACTGAGGTATAAAGAAAAAAACACATACAATAAAAAAAACTGCCACAACCCAGGAGAGACCAATAACACAAGGTGATTATGAAGGTCCCGATGGCAACTATGCTAATAACATTCCATATAATGAAATAAATTTTAAGTAAAAGTTGTCGTTAAGTGAGTTACTAGGACGTTAAGTGTTCTTGTTTCTTTCGTATTAGTAGTCGCAGTAGCAGCAACAACAGAGCAGCAGCAGCAACAATAGTTGTAGTAGAACTTCAGTATTAAGTACCGTAAGTCAAGTATCTAGTATCAGAAATTAATCGTCATTGCGTAAGATTCGATTTTTTTTTCTCAAATTAGCTTTGCTCCGCTTAGTCATATTTAAGCGTTATTGCATATACTTCAAATGAATTATGAAAGTGTTGCAAGTATCGTTGATGGGCGTGCATTAGCTGGTACTAAGAAGTATTTTCTTCTTAGTACCGTTATTCTAATATGCCTTTTCTAAAATGGACCTACATAGTTGTTAAGAATTGTCGGTACTAATAATATCAAATTAGTGATTATAAATACACACAATTCTAGTTAAGATTTTCATTTAAGTTAAGATAAATGAAAGCCAAGAATGATATGTGCTGTGTATAGTAAGAATTAAGACGGAAACATTGGTACAGGTTACCATTTCATGCAAACTGTGATGAAATAATGGTTATAATCATGTTCGGTCATTCTTAATGTGTTAGGTGCGAAACACTTTTGCACAAATTAATATCAACTGAAATATAAAATAGTTTAATGTAATTTCAATTCTATTTCTCTCTTTAAAATATGTTTAAGTAATACGAAAGGGAAAAAGCTGAGCCATGGCCATAATAGTAATACTACAATGTAACAAGTTGTCAGAATATCCGATCACCAGCAAAACACTTACGGATGGATTCGTAGTAAAACGCACCCAAGAACTCATAATTTGAAAATCCTCACATCCCAAGTGCTAAGCTCAGACAATTTAACTGCATTTGTCGATCAATCACACTCATTAACGCGTACCCGGAGTGGTTGTTGTCATTGAATATATCACGGTAATAGCAATGATAACACTGAAAACCTACAGTCGCACAATTAGTTGCTCACTGATTTATTCATCTTTAGTTATGTATTCCAATTCAACTCGCATAATTATTTCAACTATTTTGTCAATATGACCTTGATAAAAAGTGCAAACGGTTTATTCTGAATAAACTCCAGGGTTTATTTTTTATTAGCATTACTAGCATCATCGATCGATTTTAAACATTTGGATTGTCTTGATGTAACGAACAAAACGTATTTTACAATGTAACATATTTCCTTACAAATATTGACTGTGTGAACTTTGACACTCTAAATCAAAATGTTCGTTGTAATTAAAAGATATGAAAGCATACAGTAAATAGCTAAGCGTAAGTATATGGACACTCATACCCAATTACTATATTTGCTGGGTCTAAATGCAACATTTTTAACACCGGTCTATATATTTAATTCCCAATATCTTACCAGCGATATGACTTGTGTCACGATGAAGCGCATACTGACACGGCACACTGACTCCTGAAAACGAACTGGACGGCTGCTCGAGGGACCATACTGGCCTAATAATTCCTCAACAAGCAGAGATTCGTTGCTTCGAGTTGAAGCACCTAAATTGGAATAATTTAGTATCCGTTATTACACTGGTGAAATAATATTTAACTTTTAAATTATAAAACTAGCAACAGTATAATTTACCTGAAATACACATTTCGTACCAAGCAACATTTACCTTTTGTTAACAGCAATACTAGTAAAACAAAGAGTCCTTTAAACAATGCATTTATACCTCTTCTTCTTCTGTACATCATTACCAGTCACACACAAAGCAGACAATATGAATTGTACCCAGCGGCAGCGGCATCGAAAAGTCCAATGAGTCGCCGAATTCCCTTTAATTCCGCTCACCAACTTCTATATTAATAATAGTTATGGAAGACACAAATTGATTAAGCACGAATCTGTAGCCGGATATTTGGCTATGAAGACAAATTCACAAACTTAAAATAATTGATGCGTGTACACAGTAATGTTAGCTAACTAGCCTTCGATCGCCGTCCGCTGTGACCAAATGATGGATGATTATTCCTGACGTATTCATCAGCCATTTTTTTAATAGTATCAAGTATCTCAGAATTGCTCACTGCAGTTCACACGCGATGTGATGTAAATGCACGATCAATCATAGTTACCAACTTAAAAGTCATGTGACTTACTTACCTATTAATTGCGCATTATACAATACCTTGAGAAAAAGCATCTATTTAAAAATCTAACTACGGATGTTTACCAGTTTGGGCCCACAGATTATAGCTTATTGTATTGCGCATAATACATATCAAATCAAATCATTATTTATTGCAACACACAAAATGGGTTGAATTTTACAAAAGAAGAAAATGGAAAAATCAAATCAATCAACATTTTAAAAAATTTCGACAAAAAGGACCCACATCACAAAAAACAACAAAAAGAAACAGAAACAATGGGAAAATACATGGTGTGTATGCGCTGAGGTGTCACAAAACAAAAAATAAAACAAGAAATATTTCCTATTAAAAAAAACGCCTCAACTTCAGCTGTGCCTTTATATTCAATCTGTGTATACAGATACTTCAAAATTTATCCTATGTGTAAATTGTGTTATCGAATTTAAGTTAGCTGTTGCAATAAATAAATCTGTAACTGTATTTTCCTATAGATCAATAAATATTGTAGAGTTTACATTATTGAATTTATGGTATAATTTGTTGGTTTTTTTTTTTATTTGTGGGTGTTGTGAAGTACCTGAGTAGAGATCTGGGAATAAATTTAAACAATTTCTTTATTTGAAAGTAGCAGGCGTGTTCCGGATAGAGTTGTGGTGAAGACTGAAGTGTATCACTGCGCAAAACATTCGCCATATGGTTACAAAATATTCACAAATACACACTTATACATATATATTTATAATGTAATAATTTATTTGCTAATACCTGTTAATGTTTTTAAACATATTGACAATAGCAAATATAGAGCTTATGTACTGTTATATTTTGCTGAACAATAAAGCAGGTTTGAGAAACATTGATGAACATTAATTAAGACTCGTGTGAGATCATTTTATACCTTTATGTTTCTTAATAAATGGAACAATATTATTATTTTTAAATTCCTAAATTAATTTAAAACTTAACAAACATACATTATCCATGCTTTTGGTATGGTGATCAAGTTTGGGCACGCCTTTATATCACTATTTTGATATTATTTGTTTATTCATTTAATTTAAATACAGTAAATTTGTTTTGTTAAATAATTTTGCGAACCCTTAAACATCTAAAATTATTATCTTTTTTAATATGCCTATGTAGTTCAGTATTATTATTTGCATATACAGTGATTAGAAACTAAAATAAAGCAATTAAAAAATGGGAATAAAGAAGTACTTCATGGGATTTTAAGATGTAGAGATGAGACAGTATCAATTTTGAAAATATTGCAAAAATTGTATTAGTGTTTAATTGTTTGTAAGCATTGATTGTTGTTTGTAAGCTTTAATTACTCCTTAATCATCAGCTATTGTCGGTCCACTGCTAGAAAAATGTTTCAGGATGTCGACGCCAAATTAATCTTTTTCTCTGGCTTGTTGCACCATTCACTCTTCCCCATTAAATATCGATCTCATCTCTTAATCTTTTACGTTGTTTTCCTTGTTCCTTGTTTTCCTTGTATTTGTTTGTACTCCTGCTGACCCGCTTGAGTTCTCATTATTTTCCATCCATAACATATATAGTTTTCCCGTTTCTATTTCATACCCTCTTCGCAGCCGCTGTTTTGTTCCTAAGACGATTTTTTTGGTAATCATACCCTCTTCGCAGCCTTTATTTGGTTCCTGAGACGTCTTCGCAGCCGCTATTTGGTTCCTGAGACGTATTTTTGGTAACTGCGCATACTCGACATTGCTTGATAACGTCACTTACTCAATGCACATGCTCACTGGCTGTCTAGCGTTTCCAAGCGCATGCTCACTGTGTTTTTGTAGATAATTCAAGGATGTTATTTGGTAACTGCGCATGCGCATTGCTTAGTTCGGAATTCCCATTTCTTCTTAGTGAAAGCTACCGCTACCTACAGTTTCTTAATGGCTATTTCCTCTTGATCGTTACAGCCTAAAGGTGTGGCGCGAAAAAAAACCCATGACTACCATAGAAATCATTAACACCATTCCATTATTTCCTTGCACTCTGTGTCCACTTACCCGGAGTGGTTCGCAAGATCACAACTCACATATGCTCTAATGATTCACTAAAATTAATGATGGAGAACACACAAAAAAAAGAAACAAAACGAATATTAAAAGGTAAGACAAAGATGGGTCTTGAGTCTTTGTTTAAAACATGTAAAGCAGTAAAATCAACACCATTGCATTGTTTCCTTGCACTCTGAGACCACTAACCAGTGGTTCACAAGATCACAACTCATCACAACTGATTAACTATTAATGATGGAGAACACGAGAAAAGAAACAAAACGAATAATATTGTTAAAAGGTAAGACAAAGATGGGTCTAGAATCTTTGTTTAAATGTGGAGAGGAGACTCAACTGGGAGGGTATTTCATAGTGTAGGAGCTGCAAATTGAAGAGATCTTGGAATGAAATACTGCGGTTAATAAAGTACAATGGCTTGATGTGCAGCGGAGGTTAATGACTTCAATCAGGTACAGGAGTGATAATGTGTAGGTTGTCCTAGGTAGTACAATATGTTGAATGTGATGCGTGGTTGTAATAAAATAAGATAATAAATGTCGGATGGATAAATAAAATCACTGGGAGTTTTTACTCAAAACCACCAAACCTTTTGGGCTCAATATTAGGAACTTTCTCCCAGTACACTGAATTAAACAAACGGCATCCACATTTAATCAATAATATCCATAGAGCTGTTCCTATAAAGTACATTTGGTAGGCTTATTAATGTTTACCTTATTAGTGTATGTGTGAGAATCTATGTTATTGCTCTCCGTTAGAATTGGCTTTTAAGCTATAAAACAACCAAGTTGACTAATAATGCTTGTTAATGATATGAATAGTAATATTATTCATATATTATATTATATATATATATAGCATCATGATTACGTGTGATGTGCAATTGCATTCCTCGTGAAACTCATTCTTATCCGAATGATAGACTTTCCTATGTTTTTAAAAGTATTTTTCTCTACTGCTTTTGTTTTTAACCATTAACACCGATAATGGTAAGAGACTGGGCGCGAACCTTTTTTAGAGGAGTGCGCCCCCTTGCATCCCATTACTCGCTACTGCCGAAAGTTACTGTCTATATCCTTATTAATAAAGCAATCCGCAGATTGATAAAGTGTAATGCAGCCTAGTGTATTTTTTTAGAGTCAATTTCACAAAAAGTCGGATAACTTTCACATTGCTTCTTAATTAAGTGACTACGTAGCTACCAAACCTATAGCTTTAGGATACAACGAGGCTTGACGTGCAAAGTGCTTATTATCTTTATTCGGTTAAATGGCAAACAAATTCGAGGTGGTTGATTGATAACGTAAACATTATAATGTGAAGTGAGATATATGCGGGAATATGTATTTGACAGGTGAGTTTGGCAACAACAATAAAGCCAAACGGCGGTTTCCTTCTTAAAGATACCCTGTAGGCCGACTTATAGACAAAGTGTGTCCCTCTGTATAAGGCTAATTGATTCCCAATATCTCGAGTTGTAGCTTGGAATGTAAATGATTGCCTTCCAATCCCAGGGTTCTAATTTTCGATTCCTGTCAATGTTACATAATTTTTTTCTCCCAAATAGAATTGACTCCAATATAATAAGCCTCATAATCAGACTCAGTGTATGTAGAGCATCTTGTCTGTTTTGTCTTGTGAAAGGGATCGACACTTATAAGAGGACAGTGGTTCAGTCCACTATTCTTGGAAATTCTTTGCTTAGCTCATGTGCGTAACTAATGATGTATTTTAAAGCAATTTAATTGAGTATCATGTATATACATATATATATATAATATATACACACACACACATGTATATATATATATATATATATATATATATATATATATATATTAAGCTCTATCTGAGATATCGAGCACTCTACGTCATAGATGATCTGGAACATCTCATATATATATATATATATATATATATATTAGATGTTCATATATATACAATACATAAATCAAGGTAGCCGTTAACACTGTTAAATCATATATAAATCATAAAAGAAATGATAATAATGAATAAAGAAACTGTGTAATAAAAGGCCTCTGGCGAGACTCGAACCTGCGACCTCTCGTTGTCAAGGCGAGTGTCATAACCACTAGACCACGGAGGCTTCCCGTAGTGAAGAATATTGCTGTAAATACAAAGTCAGCGACTTTTAAAGATTTAAAATTAAATTCACGGAAGCCTAATTCCAACATTTTTTTTAAAATAAAATCAGTAGCCTACTAGAAAAAATTTCAACACAAATTATTCTACTATCTTGCAAACCATTCTGAAAACACTAAAGTCTGGTTTCCAAGATATCGTTACGCGCAATCGCTGACACTTTTTGGCGAAACTGAGTGGTCAGTAGCCTTCCGTTTCTTGGGGAAGAGTGTATCGCTTTTCCTGAAGCCAGGCTAAAAGCAAAATGACTGTCGAATGACAGGCTACAACATTGACATGTAGTCATCATGTCGGAAGTCTACTCGAAAACATATCAAAAAATCATGCATCAAGTTAAAGTCCTTAACAGACAAACTAATGCAAAAAAATACGTTTGAAATATTGAATTTCTTTGGCAAAATATCACTCATATCAAAAGGTTATGCATTAAGTTTTGTCATTAGCAAACTAATACAAAAAAATACTTTTGAACTATTGAATTTCCTTGGTAAAAACATGA